CTTTGAGAAATGCCCTATAGGCCTTTGAAGGGTGTTTGGTGAAATAAGAAGATGAGGATAACGCTTATAAATGTACTGCTAATCAGAACAAAATAAAAGTACTGCAGGTAATGAAGGTAGCACAGCTTTGTGGATAGCTGCATAGTTGTACTGCACAAGTTTTCAGCAAGTTATTGACAAGTACTCTTCTTTATTGACCAACATTGCATGTAAATATTACAGAATGTGAAGAGGAATATTAAATCTTAGAAATCTCTCTCAGTTTAGATCCTTAGCTTTCAATCAATACCACATTTGTGCTTGTAGAAAGTAGAAAAGGAGATTTAGGAGGTTTATTATGATTTGAATTTGGTGGTTACTGTTGTGCTTACAGTCTTATTTTGCATTAGAATAAAAAATTAGCCTACATTACATTTTAACCTCAATTTCACATCAAAACAAATGAAAAAAAGGAAAACATGCAGGCTTGAACCTGTTTGTACAGACTATAAATCAAATATAAATGTATATGTATGTAATACATATTGTAATTAAATATGCAATTGCATAATTACATGTGAATAAGGCAGCAAAACAAAAGTAACTCTTTTGGCTGGGGTTTAGTGGCTAATGCACTCTTTTAGAATTTTCATATAGTCGCACAACATGTAGACATATTGTTACTGATTGTAGTATTATTTGTACCCTGTGAGAAATTCAGTACCTTGCAAAAGTCTTAAAAGGGGAATTCCACCCACTTTTCAAAATTTCCACATTGTTCTTTCGTTGAGATGTAAACAGTCAAAGTGGTTTGATGTTAAGTTTTTCATTGTAGAGAAACTTAAGGACTCAGTTTTCTTTACAGTGGTGGTGATGGGAACGAGGGGTCACAATGTCTACAACATAAATATAGCCGTTTTATTTACTATCACAAATAACCAGTGAACCTACATGTTTCTTCAGAGGTTTTATGTGTTATGTTAATAATGGTAAAATAGTGGAAAGTTTTTAAAAAAAGTTTTCTTTGGGGCCTATTTTGCTTTTTTTTATTTGGAATTCCACTTTATACAGTGATGAAAATTGTTTGAAACTGTTTCTCTTGGCAGTTAGTGTGTTTTTACCAGATAAAACACTAAATAACATTAGCATAAATACAAATACAATCATAAACACATTAAAATTTAACCACAATTTTTCTGTTTTTTAAAAAATGTTATCTTGGTTAGAGGAGCATGTCTGGTTCCTGACTTTTCACTGTGCTCCAGTCATTGCATATCATTGCATTGATTAGATAAACTAGATATTGGATGGTAACTATAAACACTGGGCTTCCTCGAAAAGAGGCTTGGAAATAGCTAAGCTAATGCCCTAACAGGCATCAAATCACAATGTATTGTTTATTGGTGTTTATTCTAATATCAATGTTTTTTCCTACTACCCTGATAAATATCTTTAACGCAGCACTTTCTAAGACTCTTGCACAGTACTCTGAATATCTTTTCAGGTTCTGCACATATGCATATATTAAATTTTTGCCTCTTTTTATTTTATTTGTTACCTTTGTTAATATGTGATATTTCTCTTGAATATTTATTAATAGGCTTGCATTTTTGTCTGGTCTGTTTAATATGCTACATATCATACATACATTGTGTAGTGTGTTCAGTGAAGACTCTGATGTGTCATGTTAGTATTCATGAAAACTGGATTCCAGTATACTTAGTTAAGGGGGAGGGGGTCTTCGTAATCTGACTTCTAGTTAGTCATTCACTCTTGGGACTGGTGAGGCCTAGCATGCAGTACATCCTGATCACTGGAGCAGGGAAATGTTCATCCGAGGCTGCGCCATGGACAAAGAGCCGTTTCAATTAGCTGGGTGACTGGGTGAAGCTCTTCTCTCCGGCTGTCCAGGAGTGGAGGCCCCCACTGTGACTGCCCCTGAGAGAGGCCAGGAAATTGGCCTGTCTGAAAGGTGCGCTTTGTTTAGCATTCACTCATTTGCATTCCAAATGAGGGTTAGAGTGAAGCGGTGGAGCACAACCAAAGCTCATTTGGGTAGAGATAGGTATCAGCCATGGCTGTCACGCAAGGCCAGTGGAGGGGACATTCATCACCAACTGGCTGCTTTTCCAACAGGTCAGGGCCTTAGAGCTGACCAAGAACTCTGCAATCACATCCACGTAGTGCTCTCCGCAACATCTACATGCGGCATGCTATCAGTGGACACTAACAATAGGTTAAATATTCACATGTCTACAGTGACACTTACACAGATTCAGTTTGACCTTCACGTTTTAAAGAAGGCTGACCCCAGACCAGTGAGTACAATGTAAATGTACTGTGACATGCTGTTTTTCATATTGGTTTGCATTTATTACCTAAATGCCGTCTACGCAGACTACTGCACAATGATCTGCCTCTTCTTCAATGACAAACAAATGATTCCACGAAATTTATGAGCTTAAGGTGAAATATAGGCTGTTCCTTGTTTCTTAGGAAAACCAAAATGAATTAAAATGGATTTCTAAATGATTCTGAATGATGATGTAAACAAATTCCATCTCTGCCTCATTAAGTGTGTCATGAAATCTATGCATGGTAGTGTGTACACAACAACGGTATAGGGGAGCGCAAAGATGACCATTTGAAACAATGTACACTTACAATCAGCCTCAGAAACATCTTTGAACAGCACTCATAATGTAATGTTTGTTTACAGTAATGACGCACTGAATAGGGACAGCAGAGTATTACTATAATCAACAATATCCTCTTTTCTAAATATTATATTACCATTCTACCAAATTAGTTCACAAGGCTTATGCTATAATCTATTTAAACCCAAGGCATTCATTGAGATAGTAATAAGCTAAACATATACAAACATCATGTATAGGGTACTTTCTCTTTGGAGGTGGCTGTCCCAAACCCTAACTCCTACATTTAAACTTATTAAAACTTATTAAATTTAAACTTGTGGAAAAAAACTCATTTATCGTGAGTTTAAATTAAAAATATATTCCAAAAATATTGTCCCACTTTTCCATGTCACTACTGAAACACAAACGATTTTAGTCCACAGGCAGAGCCTTATTTTAGTCATACCCCTACATTTTAGAGCAGCAGGTGAAACTGAATTCCTGTCCCTTATGGCCAAATGGAGTCTGAAAATCAGTGTGTAAAATTAAGAATTGTCACTACTGAAACATATTTTCTGCAATTCAGTAAACTTTTTTTGTGCTTCGATGAAAATTATTATGATTTTTGATGTGTACAACTGTTTGATGTGTTTGCTAGTCATGTACTGGCTAGCATTTTTGAGTTATAATTGTCACTACCAAAATATTTGGCGAACATTCGGTAGTGTTATGATTTTTTGGTGACAAAATGGAAAGTTCAGTATTTTTTTTTAATAAAATTAACATAATTAGGGTAGAGGGTCACTCAAAGGAAAAAGGATTTTAATCTAAAGTCCAAGTCAGTTAAAAGTCTGTTTTCAGATCTGACTTTGTACCAAATTGTTAGAATCATCCATATATGCACACATTTATTAAAGAGAATTTATTATGAAAGAGTTCAAACAGCAGTCTTAAATTTGCCATTAATTTGCATCTTAAATACTTTTTAAAGGGTCAAAAAATCAATTGTTTAAATTCAGTTTTTCAAAATTACATACAGGCTAACATGCTCCTCCAATAGTCACACTTAGGCTTTAAGTTGAAGTAGTTACTAAACAATTCACTAAAAAACAGCAATATTAAAAGTATAAATATTTTACATGCATGTTTTACAAGCTCCAAAAGTCACTGTTCCAGCTAGAACTGTATAGTGTTAAACTCAGTATGGGAAAGTGAATGTACACCATCGTTAACTTAGTGCTAACATAACACTGCAAATCCCTTAGAAGCTGAATCCCATAGCAAGCTGAAATTAACATTATCATAGCAGTGATAATCAGATAATTGAAAAGAAAAAGGACACTTACGAATGTTTCTACATTAAATTCTGCTATATAATGACATGACAAGACAAAAAAATGAACTCACTTAGATAGCTAACAAACGTTAGCTAGCTAGGCCAGTATTAACTAGTTTTATCACTAATGTAGTGATAGGGGGTTGATTCCAAAAAGTCGAGTCTTTGACTCCAGCACATCTGGGATTTGATGTTGACTCTTGGCCAGAGACTCTGAAAGTCAGAATGCTCGAAGTTGACTCTGATTCTATTGACTCCTTGTTTTTTCTCTCATCGTAATTGGCTCGAGGGAAAGTCTGTTGGAGGTGTGTGTAATACAGGAATAAGTTTGAGTAGCTTTAGTTTGTTAATTGCCAGCCTTTATGATATGCTGACGCTGGTCAACAGCTGCTGCACGCACAAACTGTGGCCCAAAAATCGTTTTCGAAATGTCTGCCTCTGCAGTGCAAGCTCTGCACCCAAACACTGCTCATGGAAAACTCTTCATTTTCTTCATGATTAGGGTAATAAACAGTAATTAGTTCGTACAAGCAACGAAAATGAAAAAGAGTCTAGAAAACCCAAAAAGATTTTAGAAAACCCAAAGTCGTGCATCGGTGGTTCACTGATAATAATGCACCTCAACTATCTCCATAAGAGTAAAAAATGGAAAACTGAAAAACAAAATTAAAATGCAGGGGACATACTTATCCTTTGTTGCTTCAGAAAAGTACTTTTCGCATCTTCTTTTACAGCAAAGATGATGATACTGTATGTCTCGATGCATTATTATAATATTGTTACAATAAAATGACAGTAGCCAGGCAATTAGGTATCTGTTACAGCATAATCTGCCTGTATTGTAAATGGTTTCCCAGAAATCAGCACAGAATAGTGTATACCACTATAAAACACATTTAACATTTATTATCATCACACTGGTGTAAATGAGGCTATGCTAAAACATGATAACCTCTTTGACCCATTAATGGCACCTTTTAAATAGAAAATACGTCCTTTGAGATCTTCACATATGTCTAACCACATCTGTCTTTTTTTTTTCACAGGTGTCTTTCATTCCACCTGCTTTGCTTTTGTTTCTTGATTGAGGTGTCTCCTGGCTAATTACAGAGATTTGCATTGTCCTCACAGGAAATGAGGGCTTAGCACAGGTGGGATGATAAAAGAGCCTTTGCTAAGATGAAAATGTGCATTTTAGCTTCTTTTAGTGTCATGTCTGTGTTGAAATGTGGTTCATAAATTATACTGGAGCCTTAAGTGCATAATGCCTACATACAGCCTCTTAAGTACTTTAATCAATACACTGCTAATAGCCTGAAATGGTTTGAATAGAATGAAGTTTTACGTACAATCTCTGTAATGCACATATGTTAAATAATAAATGCCAAGTCCAGTGTCTATGTTTAATTGCTATACTCTGCCTTTGTCATGAAAGGATGTTCTCTGCCAGTTGGATAATCACTGGAGACTGGAGTTTTTGGTGCTGCACAAGCGTACCTGCAACCACAGCCCTGCTCCAACTTGCCATCATCAGGTAATTGGCCCCTAGAGACCGTCAGGGTAGCGTGCGTCCATGTGTGTGTGTCTGTGTCAGTGTGCCTTCCTGAAGGTCCACATGGAACGCGGTTGCCATACAACAGAGGGAAGGAGTCAGACATAGCAATTACTGAAGCTGATTTTCTCCACAACACGTTAGCTAACAAACGGCAGCTAACAGGTCTGTGTTCACATAAATGATATGATGTGTGATTGAAGAGTCATTTTTTAACATGTTACTGCGGAATTACATTATATAACTGCATATTTCTATCATGGCTTTGTTACTACGCAGTTCAAACACAGAAGATGATGATGCTTAATAACTTACCAAAAACAATCAAACAAAAAAAGTAACCATAGGGCCATTAAGCACAAGTTATTCATTTTTCAGGAAATATTTCTTAGCTGGATTTAATATAACCCGCTTGCATAAGGTGAAATAACTGAAAAAAAGTTTCTAAAACTGGAGTTCAAAAAATTATATATATATATATATATATATATATATATATATACATATATATATATATATATATATACACACACACACACACACACACTCATTGTGCATTTTATCAGCTCCATTTACCATTTAGGTGCACTTTGCAGTTCTACAATTACAGACTGTAGTCCATCTGTTTCTCTGCATACTTTGTTAGCCCCCTTTTACCCTGTACTTCAATGCTAACCCTAACCCTAACCCTAACCTAACCCCACAGGACCATCACAGAGCAGGTGTTATTTGGGTGGTGGATCATTCTCAGCACTGTAGTGACACACAAGTTGGTGTGTTGGTGTGTGTTGTGCTGGTACGAGTGGACCAGACATAGCAGTGCTGCTGGAGTTTAAAACATCTCAGTGTCACTGCTGGACTGAAAATAGTCCACCAACTGAAATTATCCAGTGGGTCGCATTCTGTGACCACTGATGAAGGACTAGAGGATCAATACAAAGTGTGTAGCAACAGATTAGCTACTGTCTCTGACTTTACATCTATGAGGTGGACCGACAAGATAGGACTGTCTAATAGAGTGGACAGTGAATGGACACAGTGTTTGAAAACTCCAGCAGCACTGCTTTTCTGATCCACTCATACCAGCACAACATAGACTTACACACTACCACCAAGTCAGTGTCACTGCAGTGCAGAGAATGATCCACCACCCAAATAGTACCTGCTCTGGGGGGGGGTCCTGAGGAATAGGATGAAAGGGGGCTAACAAAGTATGCAGGACAACAGATGGACTACAATCTGTAATTGTAGATCAACAAAGGGGACCAATCTGGTAAGTGGATCTGATAAAATGGACATTGAGAGTAGAAACAAGGTGGTGGTTTAATGTAACGACTGATTAGTGTATGGGTACTTTTAACAACAGGTTTCCATCATATAAAATAACTATTGAACCATGTAAAGAACCATTTATGCATTTAAATGGTTCTTTGAGTTGGCAAGGTTTTATGTATAGCCATTGCCTTTACAAAACCCTTGAAGAACCTCTATTTTAAGGGTGGACCCTAAGACTACAACTCGGCAGAAACACGAAAACGTCTTTTGTGGTCAACTTCATGAAAAACATTACTCAGCAAATAACTTACAGATGCTGTTACAGATCAGTGAATATAAAACACAACAGTGATTCAGAAATTAGATCAGCTACTTTAAAAGTGAGAAAGCTTGAGCTTTAAAACTTAGTAGCCCATAACAGAGCTCCCACAACTTCCATCTCATTTAAAATGAGCAGAATGTAATGTGACGCATGGTTTCTGGTACCTCAGTATCGGAAACGCAACTACAGTAGCATGATTTTGAAAATAGGCAGATAAACTACATTAAGCAATTGGGAAAAGCAGCCCATGGGAATTCCAGCTCTTTTCAGTGCACCAGATCAGTCTCCACTCACTAATAAGAACTGACTCTTTCAGCTTGAAAATGGCTCTTTGTTCAATGTTACTGTCCGTTTTTTCAAAATCAAATCATGATGTTATGATTTGCAATTATTTGTTTTTGCCTGTCTATGGATATTCAGTGAAATCTTATGCTATTAATGAAAAAAAACAAACAAACAAAAAGTGTTGTTTGTTAAGAACTACTTAAATTAAATGAAAAACGGTGAAACACTATACATGATATGTCACCATACAAAGCAGCAGTGCACTCGTTCTCATGCTGCCGGAGCTACACACAGGTGAGAGTCAAACGAATGCCTGAAACGGATGCATTTTAAACAGAGTTGCAGTGCATGTGATTACTGGAGCTTAGACTATTAATGAGTTTCCAGCGAGAGTCTCATAGTTATTTGCCTCATCAATAGATCAATAAATGAATGAAAGAATAGTAAAAAAAAAAAAATCTTCACAAATGCGAGTCAGCAGCCAGCGCTCAGCTATAGGTGAACGAGCTGAATTGAGATTGACACATCACTACTGTTACTTCTAACTCACCAGAACTGTGAGATGATCTGTCATGAACAGCCAAAATCCCTAGATGAGAGATCCATGTGTCCAATAAGGACTGAACAAGGCTGTACAGTGTATGTAGCAGTCTACATGCTGAAGGAGAATACTGCAATAGAGAGTCACCATTTAATGAGGGAGACATACCTCATGGTCTATTATCATATGCTGTACATATGTATGAGTTTTATCTGTGTTTTAGAGGGGTTGTATAAGTAAAGGTGGGTGATATGGAATTAAGCAGGCAGAATACTTCAACAGACGAAAGGACTGAATGAAATCACACTACCACTGAACATGCTTAAAAAGATCAACCTTAGTCAAGGGGAGGTCTCAGAACAAGCAATGCAGTGATTAAGACCTTTGTTCAGCTAGTGGTGCTCACTGCACTGTATGAAATGAAGCCAGTGCTTTATTCAATGTCGTTTTCGTTTGAAGTATACTGTGAGCTTCACTGTGTACTGGATGTTGTTCACAGGTTTCCTATAGTTGGTGTAAATCTGTGCTTTTTACAGGGGTCACATGTCAGGGTGCCCGTGGTCAGTGAAAACAAGTTAACTTATCCTCTACAGAGAACACACTTCTGCACATTTCAGTGTACACTGTTCATTCACTGAATTTAACATTAAATGGCATGTACAAAGATTGTGGCACATTTAATATGTGGTTTCATACAGTCAGCAAATAAATAGAAATTGTGCTCAAAAATTGCATATATAGCCAAAATATTCTTCTGTGGAATTAAAAAAGTAGCTACATTTAAACATATTCAGGTGTATAACATTAAAAAGTAAATGGTCTAACAGAGGCGTCACCAATCCTATTCACAAAGGGCCAGTGTGGCTGCAGGTTTTCATTCCAAACAAGCAGGAGCTCACCTGGTATAACTAATCAGTTGTTTGAAGACTGATACTAACTGATTAAACATGTTCCTGCTTCATGGGAATGAAAACTTGCAACCACACTGGCCCTTTGTGGATAAGATTGGTGACGCCCGGTCTATAAAATTAAGAATCAGGATGTGGTTTTCTTTTAAAAGTAACCTCAGTATTGGCCATGTGCTCATCACATTCTAGTTAACCCATATTAGTGAGTTCACCTGCTCTTAACCCTTTTAAGGGATGTGGACAGTTATATTTTACAGTGATATGTTTATTCTCTTGGAAACTGAGTTAATGTACAAGTATTCAATAATACTCAAGTGAAGTACGAGTCGTCCAAAATAATGCTTAAATATAGTAATGAAGAACAATTACTGTATTTTCCACCCCTGCAGTTTCATAAATCATACAGTTCTTCACTGTTGTAGAAGTACTGGCAATACATATGATATACTCAGGAAAAAAAAAAAACATATTGTGAAATAATTTATCACAGTAATGATAACATACCGTCATATTCCCCTCACTGAAAAGCTTATAAATCTTCTAAGGAAATAAACTAGTGCTTTTAGTATCTGGAGGGAAAACAGTGTTGTCATACACCCTTCTCCAAATGAAGAACCCATATGAAACTTTCCCTCTCACATCCCCCTGCATCCCGCTCTGGCTTATCATGGGCCTGTGATATAACTCTGTAATAAAGATCAGACTGAAAGATACACACCATTATGTATTACAGTCATTGGTTCAGTATAGATGTAGATAAGGGAACATCCTCACAAAGAAGAGAGTTTAATAAAATAACATGAATAAGCAAGAATGAAACAACAACAACAAAGAAAAAGACAAAAGACAGAGAAAATGAGATTCCTAACAACTGTGCTAGACCTGGAAGACCACCAAAACTGTCACCTTCATCGGTGAGAGGTGTTTTACAGGTGTTGCTGCCCAACCTTCCACTGTGAGAAGACAACTATGGAGTTCATTTTGTGCCAGATCTTTCAAATAAAATAAAATAAAAATCCCACGTAAATTGTTAAATATTAGAATCTCCAAAATAAGTTGCAAATACAAATGCTAAGTTAAATAAAAGTTTATTTTTTTAAAAAGTATGACATGTTCCCCCATGTTGGGGCAGTTCATGCTGGGTGGCTACTGTTCAGAAGACATGCCACTCCAAATCAGTTGACCATTAAAGACAGCACCCTCTTAGAAGTGCCAAAAATCAGAAGCAAAACAAACAATGACACAAAATTAGCTCCGTCTGAAAGGATGTGTGGCTGTCAAGAAGCTGTTACTGAGCAAAGGAAGTAGAAAAAAAAAGAAGGAAATGTGCAAATCATACAAAAGGAGCTGCTGGTGTTCTCAGGACAATAGACTGACCAACCCAGAATCCAGATCTGAACATCACTGAATATATTTAGGATTATTTGGATTGTGAGAAGCAGAAAGTTCAACCAACTTCTAAGACTGAACTTTGGAGGTGTGGAAAAATATCCCTGCAGTCTCTTGAAAAGAATAGAGGTTTGCCATCTTTCTCTTTCTCCTTGCTCTCCATGTAATGAAACGTGCAGCTGATCAGTGTTCTTAAAGTACTGATGATGTCCACAACATGCTCAGAAAAGCATGTTTAACTTATTGTAATGTACCTTGATAA